CACCAACCAAAAACTACTGCGTAGAATTAATTGGAATTTTTCACACACAAGCCTTGCTATATGAGCTCTCAAAGCATATAAAAATTATACGGCTTAAATGTGAAGTTGGGTGCAAAAGAATACAATTAAATCCTCTGTCGGGAAAAAACGAAATGACTTTCCGAACAACCCAATACATTTTAGGACAAATATTGTCTTCAACAGGTACTTAATAGTATATCTAAAGTCTACTTCACGCAAAACATTCTCTTGGTAACCGTATCTATATTTAGTATTTATTAAAAAGCATACAAAAACAAACTACCGTAATTAATCCATAAACTTTCTCATTTCGACTAATTTAAAATTCCTTTCCTCTTACTATCACAATCAGCCATGTTTTACCAACTCTCCCGCCCCATCAATATTATGTACGTCACGCTTATCCACCCCTTGTAATAAAATAAATTAATGTTTAATTTATCAACACCGATTTATGTAAATTTAAACACAATTTTATTATTGTTTTTGTCTCCTCTTTAACTCAATTTTAAAATAATATCTAACTCTATTTAGGGTTATTGTACATAACGCGGTGTCTATTTGACCTGTACAATTTTCCTACCTTTTTCTGACTACATTACCCTACTGTCACCGCTACTTTTTAATTTATACATCGAAGACGCGATCAACATCATTAAAGACAGTACAACTGTAGGAATAGATATACAGGGGCAAAAAATTAGTATGCTTAGATTTGCAGATGATATAGCAGTGTTAGCATCTATCAAGGAGGAGTTAGAGATAGCCTTAAATAAAATGGAAACGGTACTGATAAAACACTACTGTATGAAAACAAATAAAAGTAAAACTAAAATACTAAAAAAACAAGTAGGTAAAGAGCGAATATAAAGATAGGAGACGAAAAATTAGCTGAAGTGACTGATTTTAGATATCTAGGAAGTCAGATAAGTGAGAACGGAAGGATTAGTAGGGATATAAAGCAGAAGATAGCGCAGGGTCGTGTCGCCTTTAATGAAAAGAAATCACTTTGTTAAAGGTGTATGTTTGGAGCACGGCGTTGTACGGGTGCGAAACATGGACAGTGAGCGCGGCGGAAAAGAAAAGATTAGAAGCGTTCGAAATGTGGTGTTACAGGCGAATGATGAGGATAACGTGGATAGAAAAGATTAGAAATGAAGAGGTATTAGAAAGAATAGGAGAACAGAGGACTCTACGGAAGTCAATAAGAAACAGGCGAGATAAGTTGGTAGGACACTTTCTCAGGCATGAAAGTTTAGTGGGAGACACATTAGAGGCAGAAACAGGAGTTACGAGGGGTAAAGGTAGACCTAGATTAGATTACTGTTCGCAAATAGTTGGATGTTGTAGTTTTAGGGAAATGCGAAGTTTAGCTCAGAATAGGAATGAATGGAGTTCGTGTCCAACCAGTGTTAAGACTGACGACCTTATGATGATGATATTATCCTACCATCCGTTACCGCCAATCTTACTCCCTGTTACCCATATATTTTTTAGGTTGATTATTACAATTTTCTGTAAGATTTCATTCATTAAAATACTGTTTCAATTTGTTACAGATGAGTCACTTACATTTACAAGTCGTCATTTACTGGCGACGAAGAGTAATGCAAGTTGCATCCCACCGGCTGTAGACGATTTTCCTAGCGACGGGTTTACGAGGGCGGATAGAAGACAAGGTTGGATTGCACTACACATCATCGGTTCTTTTTACTGCTTCATGTTGCTTGCTTCTGTCTGTGACGATTTTTTCGTTCCTTCTGTTAAAAAATTGTGTCGAAGTAAGTACTGAACTTCAGATTTAGATAACTCGAGAATTTTCGTGGTCATCAAAAATTCAGCAATAATCTGGTTCTCATTATTATTCATTTGTAATTCAAATGACTGAAATTTTTTATGATTTATGAATATAAATACATTGATCAAATTGATTAAACTTGTTCTAAGGATAAAGAAAAGGGTTTTTATTTTTGTCTTGCAGGATTTTTCGGAAAAACATTTAATCTTTTTATATATAATGTGTGCTTATCTAAGATCTATAAAATAACAGCCATTATCTATACATATAAAGGAAAATCGTGTTTCACTATTTATAACTCAAGAACGGCTGAACCGATTTGGCTGAAAATTGGTGGGGAGGTACCATAGAACCAAGAGACGGACATAGGATACTTTTTTATCCCGTCCTCGTGGAACTCGACATAAAACGTGGTATAAGAAAACGCAACTGACAGCAACACGAAAAATTTATCAGTTAAAACATCAGTCTAGTCGTTCATTTGTTAAAAATGGTATAACAAAAATTCAATCTCTGTTGGAGGGGAGGAGTGGTGAAAAGGAATTGCAATGTTTAAATGGAACATATATTATTTGTGGTCAGATTTACTTGAAACTTGGTCTTAATGGTCTCTCATTTAATTTCTGAAAGACCTATCTCGACATTTTAAAAAATTCAACCTACAAAGGGGAGGGGGGTAAAAAGTTGCTGGAATGTTTGTTTGGGACATACTTTATTTGTGGTTCAATTTACTTGAAACTTGGTATATATGCTGTTTGATATTATTAATCAAATGAAAAGAGGTTGTAACGTTTCCATGGGGTACATTGTATTTGTACTCGAATTTACTCGAAGGTAAATAATTGTTGAAATACGTGCTTTGGCAATTTTTAAAAATCAACCCTTAAGGATGAAATGTTGTTGCTACGTTTGTATTTGAAATCTGAGATAGCAACATTACATAAAATTAAAACGTTGTAAGGGTATATTCGGAGGTAAAAGGTTTATGGAGTAGCAATATTAATTTCTGCAAGCGAAGCCGCGGGGAAAAGCTAGTTAGAAATAAAATGTCAATATTATCAACCTCTTTTTCACCAGCAAACATAATTACTTATTGATGGGGAAGTCCCAAATGAACATTATCACTAAGTACATCAAAGATATGCACTTCTGCTCATTATTGACCAAGTAATTGGGTCGAAAATTAATAATACGTAAGTAGTTAAATGGCAGACTTGTGCGAGCTACAACTTACGACAAGCATGTATCAATCCTTCAACTTAAGTTTTGTTATTCATATTAGCAAATAGAACTGGTAATTAACCAAAGCTAAATAGCAAACCATTTTCTAAAATTATCTACCAAATGCTTTAAGTTATGCTTAATCAGAACGCTCTAATAATGCCCTTATTTAACGTAAATTTGTAACTCAAACAAAATCAAAATGCACCCCTGTCTTAAATTTAATTTCCGAGACGTTCTTGATGTGCGAGTCAATTTAAATTTGATAATGTATTACGTTAGTAAATAAACTACAGCAAGTACAACACAAACTTCAACTTCATTATTAATTATTATTATTTTCTTTAAAGCAAAACTTTTAATATACCGAAATTTGTAGGGTTTGTAGAAGTAGATAGGTATTGCAATGATTTTTTTATAATTTAAATTTTACATTTCGACAGAGATATAAAAAATGTAAAACCCGACTTTAACAACAACAAATTTAAAAACAGAGAACCTAGAAAAATTAATTTTTTTTATGATGCAAGTCAGAGAATTTAGAACGCTGATAAACTTTTTTACAAGCTGATCCTTCATTACGTATTGAAGACGAGAATTGTAATAGTAATAAAATTTCAAATTTCAATTATTATGACGTCCACGTAGTTTGACTTGAACGTAATTCCCGTTAAAGTCTTCATAAAGGAAGTTATTTAGTCCATTTTAGTAAATATGCACTCAGAGAAAACTATAGAACAAACTTCTACAATTGTAGAACTTTTCATTATAAATAGTCGCGAATATAGGGACAGAAACAAGTTATAGTGAAAATTAATATAATATTGTAATTAATTTTTTTCCTACAATCTGTTTGTCTCTCTACTACAACGTTAAAGAATATGTACTGCAAATTCCTCTTAAAAATTACTTTTCATTGTAGCATATCTCTATACAATAATTAAAAAAAATTATACAAAATTGTAACATATTTGTTTACAACTAAAACGCAAATAAATATTCAATAAAAATTGCTACATTTTTTCTTTATATTTTCTACAAAATTTATTTAATCTTACTACAATTTGTAATGAAATTCACGAAGTTGTTGTCGTAAATATTTCA